ACACTCTGTAATTGAAGTCGGCCTTTCTAGACAAAGAACAATTCCACAGCCACTTGCTCTCCTTGCACTCTCTGAATTAAAATCTTGACCAGAGGTACTTGCCTGCTTGTGCTGTTTTCAGAGATGTCTAGACCTACAATGTAATTATATTGTGGATTAGGACATATTGATGCTGTTCCATCCAGGTGCTTATGGCTTTGATTAATTTTCATTCACATTACTTGAGCCACTCAGAATGAAACACTCTGAATGAAGCTAGGAGAAAGTTCATTCTGATATGTGATTAGATTCCAGATCATTAGAAATGCACTAGTAACATGCAAAGTTACTTATTAACTGAAATTCTGATTGACTAACCAACGATTCTCTTTTTTTTTTTCATTTACTTTATGAGAGTAACCTGAAATGCCACCCTCTATGTGGTTAATACAAAATTTGAATTAGTATTTTTAAAAAAGATTTATTTATACCCACAGGGATTGCAACTGAGATGAAAAAATGCACAAAATGAAGAATGATGTAAAAAAATAAAAAAGGAGAAATAAAGCTTTATTTATTTATGCACACAGAGCTGGGGTACAGGCCAGAGATGCAGAGGTACAGTCAGAAGATTCACCAGAGACAGAGTGGGGAATTAACCTGTTAGTTAATTAAAATTTTACTGATCGAAAATAGTATATTTGGGTGATTAATACTTTATAATTTTTTTTAATGTGTTCTTAAATGCTTGTTTCACCTGATGATTCCTTAAAGTATAAATAAAGGGGTTCAACAAGGGGCTAACAGAAGTCATGAGCAAAGATATTTCCTTGTCGAAGTTACCTTCTTTCTTTGGTGATGGGTTAATGTATAAGAAGATGCAGCTGCCATAAGAAAGCGAGATGACAATCATGTGGGAGGAACAAGTGGAAAAGGCCTTTGTCCTTTGCTGAGCACAGGGGATCCTCAGGATAGTCCTAATAATGTATGTGTAGGAAAGTATCACTAGCACCAGAGTGACCACCAGAGTCAAAATAGCTATGAAGATGACAATTTCTTCTAGGAGTCTTGTGTCTGAACAGGCAATCTTTAGTAAGGGTCTAAAGTCACAGTAATATTGATTCAACACGTTGGAGGCACAGAAATCTATCTGTCTCACCAGGATGAATGGGGGTAAGATAGAGAGGAGTCCTCCCAGCCAGGAGCAGAACACAAGGAGTATGCAGACCCTGGTGCTCATGATGGTCAGATAGTGCAGGGGTTTGCAGATGGCCACGTAGCGGTCATAGGACATAGAAGCCAGAAGGTAAAACTCTGTCCCCCCAAGCATAATAGCAAAAAAATATTGAGTCAAGCAGCCAGCAAAGCTGATGACTTTATTTCCCGTTACCAAGCTGGTCAGAAGTCTGGGGATAAAAATGGATGTGAAAGAAACTTCTAAGAAGGAGAAATTCCGGAGGAAGAAATACATTGGAGTCTTAAGTTGGGGGTCTACAAGAGTGAGGATGATGATGGTTAGATTCCCTAGGACACTTAGCAGATAAGCGAGGAACAGAAAGATGAAGATCACCACTTGGAGTTCAGGTTGAGATGTGAGACCCTGCAAGATAAACTCGGTAAATGCCGTCCTGTTTTTCATTGTTGACTTTCAGTAGCTCTAAAGGAAAAAGAAAAAGTAGGTGATGAAAACTGAGTTTTCAGGGAAGGAGTAATGAAGTTAGTTGCAGCCCAGCAGAGTCAGGTCAGACTATCACCCTTTATTCAGTCGGGAGAAACCAGTGTCCTATCCGATAGGGACGGGTTCTCTGGAAGTCCAGGTCTTCTGTGCTAGTGGGCTGTTCATAAAGCCCTTTTTACTTCTCCTTGTTGACCAGTTCTTGGATGCTTAGCAAAGATATGTCACCAAGAACTACTCTGCCTGTACTTGTCACTTCATCTCAGATATTTATAAATTTCACATCTTTTAGTCATTTGTCTGACTTCATTTACTGTTTTTATTTCTGTGCTCTTGGTAGCAAGCTTCAATCTGTGTCCTTCCTGTATTTCCTGAGAATTCACCATATATCTGCAAATGACCTTTAACTCCTTCACAGTCCAAATTACTAGTTTCCTCTTTAGGTGTCTTGTGGAAATTCTCCCAGTACAGATGATGTTATATGCCCCAAATCTAAAACTGACTAATGGTACATCCCCATATTTTTCCAGATGAATGTCTATTTTGCCTTAGGATTCTAACACTGTTGTTCAGTACTCACTTTATACTATCAGTTTTCTCCTATGGCCAGGGCTCATAAATAAATAGTATTAATGACTAGTAAGCCTAATGCTTCTTGGCCATATTCAGAGTTGTCTGGGTGCTGATTTGACACACCAGTGGGAACTGACATTGTGACAATCACAGGACATGGCTCTCAGAATGGATTTGGTTAATGTTTTGAAGCCTCTAAATGGTATCTAGTAATTAATTATAATTTTCACTATTTTCTTAAAACACAGTGCAGAAAATTGACTCCAGTACTGTTGGTTATAGATGTACTTTCTAGATGAATTCTTGGTCAACGAAGATTGGTTTTTCAACACTATGCCCTTATGCTACAATTAATAGACTTATACTCTCTTAGATGCAAGACACATTAATGATTCCTCACGATCCTTTTGTATTACATAGTAAATGATTTAACATTTCATTAAATATTGATCTCCCTCTCTCTAAAGTCAATAGTGGTATTCCCACCAAGAACATTTATGAAAAACCAAGGGGAGTGACATGCATTCCTAATGCTGATTAAGTGCTTTTTATTCTTTTATTAAACAGC